CCACAGAGACAAGGTTTGAGACACCAGGATGGACCACAGAGACAAGGTCTGAGACACCAGGATGGACCACAGGGACAAGGTCTGAGACACTAGGATGGACCACAGGGACAAGGTCTGAGACACTAGGATGGACCACAGAGACAAGGTCTGAGACACCAGGAAGGACCACAGGGACAAGGTCTGAGACACTAGGATGGACCACAGGGACAAGGTCTGAGACTAGGATGGACCACAGAGACAAGGTCTGAGACACCAGGATGGACCACAGAGACAAGGTCTGAGACACTAGGATGGACCACAGAGACAAGGTCTGAGACACTAGGATGGACCACAGGGACAAGGTCTGAGACACCAGGATGGACCACAGAGACAAGGTCTGAGACACCAGGATGGACCACAGAGACAAGGTCTGAGACACCAGGAAGGACCACAGAGACAAGGTCTGAGACACCAGGATGGACCACAGAGACAAGGTCTGAGACACCAGGATGGACCACAGAGACGTCTCAGTTTGACCCACTGTCCTACAGACACAGAGACATGACTCTACACTAGATCTGGATGTATTATTGGGTTGGCCACCTTGACAGCTGTAAAACAGGACATCTATGGTCCATTTCTTAGTTCTGTCCTACATCTCGTCCACTTGTCCTCCCATCTTGGACCCTTTCAGTTCAAATACAGAGCTAGACGATGTACAGAGGACACAGTCTGTTCTGTCCTTCACCTTGCTCTCACCCATTGTACTGTTCATAAGTTTCAGCTCAGTCTTTGCACCTGGCTGCTGGATTTCCTCAGCCAGAGGTTACAAGCAGTACGTGTTGGCAACACCACCTGGAGCAGCATTACATTGAACACAGGGGCCCCCCAAGGCTGTGTGCTCAGTCCCCTGCCCTTCACCCAGCTAACACATGACTGCACAACAACCTACAGCTCTAACCACAACACAACTCTGGTGGGTCACTACAGGGACGAGGTCAACCTGCAGTTAAATGTCAGCAAGACCAAGGAGATTGTTACTGACTTCTGGAAAGGTCAAATGTCAACGGCCCTACTCGTGATTGGTGGAGGTCTTGATGTGGGCGGAGAGATTGTTGTTTTTTATATTTGTGATCTGTTTTATTGTTTTTAGTTAAGCACTTTGTGATGTTTGTCTCTGTGAAAGGTGTTATAGAAATAAAGCTTACTTACTTACTAGATGACCCTTCTCTACTCGTGGAGTAGCTTGGTTGAGTCGGGCAGGAACCAACATCTTTTTTTAAATTAATTTTAGTCATAACTTGAGAAAGGAAGCTGCTAGCTGCATGAAATTTGAACACCGTACATATGGAGGGACTAGTAACAATTTGGCTCGTCAAATATCCCTAACTAGCTTGTAAAAAGATCGATAAATATCAATATGAATAAGAATATTAGTCCTAATTTGAGACAGGAAGAAGCTTGTCGCATGAAATTTTAAGTCAAATCATGTTTACATTTTCACAATAATTGTTATTTGAGTCATTGTTCTGTTTTAAACTGGACACAGACAGTCAATAAATCATATTTTTTACTATTAAAACTTCTTCTTTTAAGTTGCCCCAAAAGACAAGTCACTATGACCAATCACGGGTAGGGCTGTGTCCGCCCACAGGACAACATGTACTGCACAGACCCTTACTGATGTCTGGCTGCATCACTGTGTGGGTGGGAGCTGCTCTGACAGCAGGACAGCTGTGTAGCTCATAGTGAATGCAGCAAAGACCACTGGTGGCCCACTCCCTTCTCTGGCTGGCATACACACCACCTGCCTTACTGGCAAAGCAACTACTACTTTGGGGGACGTGAGCCATCCCACACACATTCAGGTCCTGCCCTGTGGGAGGAGGTATAGAAGCCTCGGCTCCTGCACCACCCGACTGTCCATCAGGCTGTGAGGATGCTGAACTCTCTCCCCCTGGCTCCATCCAGGCTGTCACAAAGCCAAAACCTTTAAACTCTTCTACTTTACCACCCCCAAGCCCCAAGCCCCAACCCCCAAGCCCCTCACACACAGGTACCAATCATTACAGACGTGGTGTCACAGAGACATTTGCACTTCATGCTTGTTGACACAGAAATCTCTTGCTGCTACAGTTCCTGAATGTCTTGTTTCTATGTTGTTGCTGCCTGACGTAATTTAAGCTGTTAACACCTGTCCTTTAATCTCTACGCTCATTTAGTTGTTTAATTAATGAGTTCATGTAATTTAGTTGAGTTAATTTAGCTTTCATCAGTGCACACATTATTATCTTTTAGGATGGGAGTTAGTGTGACCATAGGTCTGTTTGTTGTACTTGTCAGGGTCAGCAGGATGCTGGGTCAGGGTCAGGGTCAGCAGGATGCAGGGTCAGGGTCAGGGTCAGGGTCAGGGTCAGGAGGATGCTGGGTCAGGGTCAGGTTCAGCAGGATGCTGGGTCAGGGTCAGGATGCAGGGTCAGGGTCAGCAGGATGCAGGGTCAGGGTCAGGATGCAGGGTCAGGGTCAGCAGGATGCAGGGTCAGGGTCAGCAGGATGCTGGGTCAGGGTCAGGGTTAGCAGGATGCAGGGTCAGGGTCAGCAGGATGCTGGGTCAGGGTCAGCAGGATGCAGGGTCAGGGTCAGCAGGATGCTGGGTCAGGGTCAGGATGCTGGGTCAGGGTCAGGGTCAGGGTCAGCAGGATGCTGGGTCAGGGTCAGGGTCAGGGTCAGCAGGATGCAAGGTCAGGGTCAGGGTCAGCAGGATGCTGGGTCAGGGTCAGGGTCAGGGTCAGGGTCCTGTCTCGTCACTGGCAGACGGTGAGAAAGGTGATTTCGTATGAAGAAAAGTCAGTAAAGCTGACTCTGACTCTGAGCTGGACTCACAGTCCTGTGGAGCGTCCTCACTGCTGAAACAGTCCCTGAAGAGACACAGCATGGTTTGGCACAGACTGTCCACCAGGGACTTTGGAGAAGCGAGTCTCCAGCTGGACTCTGGAACTCTGTCGGACTCTTCTGTCAACTGATCCCAAATGTCCTGGATCTTCTCTGGCAGCTCCTGCTGGAACACCTGGAGACACGGACAGACACAGAGGTCAGACACGTCCAGGTGGACCTCCTGTGGAACAAGCAGTGAATGTGGACTTGAGTCTGAGCAGATCAGAACCAGGTTTTGTAGATGTGGACAGGTGGGACAGAACCGTGAGGTCCAGCTTACCTCAGCAGGGTGGGACTGGACAAAGACCCCCTCAGCGTCCCTGAAGCGGCGCTCCAGCTCAGCGGTGTAGGAACGTGAAGGATGTCGGTCCGGCAGAACCCGGATGATCTGAAACATCAAAAAGCTTTAGGTGAGACCGTGAGCAGAGCTGAGAGAAACCAGTCTGTGAGATTTTTAAAAGCTTGATTCTGATTGGTCAGAGGCAGCAGTGACCTCAGACAGGTGGCCAGCTCTGATTGGTTTTTAAACATTTAGTGAAACTTCTGGTTTTTCCTCCACCTGCTGTAATAAAAACAAGCTAAACCCAACAGGATGTTCCATATAAGGAAAGAGGAACTTCCTCAAAGGGCGGAGCCACTTTCTCAGGTTTACACTAACCTTCCCACGGCAGGCTCAGGTGTGCTACTGAGGTCCAAAAGCAGAAAGTTCTGCAGGCGTTTGATGAAGAGCTGGACCTGATCAGCTGTCAGTCAGAGCTGAACTCAACCAGCAGGTGAGGTCAGAGGAGGCCTTTCATCACCTGCAGGCTGTGTTCTCAGGTATGTGAGGCAGGACTAACACGCTGAGCAGCCAGAAAACAGCCCGAAGAATCAGATCCTTCAGGAGATCATCCTTTAAAACCTTCATGATTTCAGCATAAAGCTGTTCACCTGAACTACAGGTGAAGCCAGCAGGTAAATAACGGAGCAGAGGTTGATGAGCAGAGTGTAAACAACACATTAATAAATAAAAACTAAATGTTCTGATCATCAGGAAAGTATTCAGGTATGAGGGAAGTAGTCAGTAAAGAAGGCCATGTGATTGTCTACACACACAGAGAGGGACGAGCAGCAGCTGCAGATAAATCTGAACGATGAACCAGAGATTATTAACCCATGGGCCACAGCGCCACCTTGAGGGCCTCAAAAGAACAACAGTTTTTAACTTTGGGCCACAGAGGGCCG